TCTCATTGCGTTTGGTTCTCTGAGATTTATTTCTGGTTTATATTGCATTTGCCATAGTGTTTGCTCCAAATGAGTCCCTTATCCTTTGAGCCCCCAGTATCCACTTTGCCTCTAAGCAAATGATTTCCACTTGCAATTTTCTAAATCACTGAGGTCTCTTTTGTGGTCTCCTTTTCACCAACCTCCCCCTCTTCTCTATAATACACACCCTTGCTTCTATTTTTCACTTCATCCTCCTTCTGCCCGCCTCTGTATCTACAACCTGACACTTTCTACTCTGTGTTGGAAATATTTGCAGAAATGGGGCACATTCACAGGTTGGATCCCCAAAGAAAAAAACTGTGTTACTTCCTACCTCTTAGGACTGGTCCTGAGTGTGCAGACTGCATACTTGGGTCTGGAAACTTATTACAGTGGTGTAATAAACACAAGCCAAGCCCCCCTCTCCAGCACATGCCAATATCAGCAACTGAGGGACCCCTCCAGGTCCCTCACCCATTCCCTCAACTCAGCAGCTTCAAGATCAGTTCTCTGGATCCAATCAAATAAAGCCACAGTACCACTTGCTAGAAAAACAGAGTAATACAAATCTTTAAAATACTGCTATAGACAAAAAATATCAAGAAATGTAAAGCAGGAAAATGGGCATACAGGAAAATACAACACATGGCACCTAGATCTCAAGGGAGTATGTTATTAAAAGGAAAGAAAATCTCCCCATTAACCCTGCCACAAAGACATGGTCGATTTTATCTTGATGTCACAAAAAGATTTCAAAATTGCCATGATTAAGAAATTCAAAGATAAAAGGAAATGAATACAAGTCAAAGTTACACAAGAGAAAAGCTAATCAGAGATACAGCAAAAGCCAGGAAAAAACTAATAAATGACTGAAAAATGAAATTAATGAATATAAAATATAAATTAAAGCACTAAGAAAATAACCAAACTTCAGAATATAAAAAAGATCAAGAGGAGAGATAAAAATTGCTGGAGAAAGCTATGGAAGCATTATTCACTAAATGTAACATCAAAACAGTGACCTAGAGGATAATAATGTCAAAGGATCCAGGTAGAAGAAGAAAAAGAAACATGAAAGAAAAAGATGAAGAAACACTTCAAGAACTATCAGACTCCCTTGGGAAAGGCAACATAAGGATAACAGATATTCTAGAAGGAGAACAGAGAGAGAAGGGAACAGAGAAATTATTAAAAGAAAAATAGAGGAAACTTTAAATGTAGATGTGCATGAAGCTGAAAGAATACCTGATTACCTAAATGTGATGAGACCTATACCAAAATTCATAGTCATCAAATTACTAAGAGTTTAAGACAAAGAATGTTGAAGTTGGCAAGGGGGAAAAATAAATGCAGACAACTTATGAAGGTGCCTCCATCAGGCTTACATTAGACTTCTCTGAGGAAACTATAATCAAGGTGAAATCGGAATGACATATACAAAATACCTAAAGATAAAATGTGCCAGCCAAGAATACTATGTCCTGCATTACTCTCCCTCAGATATGAAGGAGAAATAAAGGCCATGCCAGACAAATAGAAGCTGAAGGAGTATGTAAGCATTAGACCTCTTTGAAAAGAAATGTTGAGAGGCAACCTCTTACCTAAATTCAAAATAAGAACAACCAGAATACTAAGAAAAAAATGGCAGTAGCAAATCCTCATATACCAATAATCACCCTAAATGTAAACTCTGAATTCATCAATCAAAAGATACAGAGTGGCTGGCTGGATCAGAAAACAAAACCAAACTTTCTGATGTCTCTAGGAGATTCTTTTGAGCTCCAAAGTAAACATGCTCAAAATAAATGGACAGTTAACCTATGGCAAATAAGTCAAGGGTATAGACTGCAGAAAGGAAAGTCTCGTCAGCAAATGGTGCTGGGAAAATTGGACAGTCATACTCAAAAGAATGTAACTGGACCACTATCTCATACCATATACAAAAATTAATCCAAACAGATTCAAGACTTAGAAATAAGACCTAAAACTATATAATACATAGAAGAGACTGTAGGCAAAACACTCCATGACACTGACTTCAATGATGGCTTCAGGAACTTAATTCCAACAACAAGGAGAACAATAGCAAAAAAAGGCAGAAGGGACTGCTTCAAACTTAAATGCTTTTGTACAATGAAAGAAGCTGTCATTAAAGTTAGAAGACATACTACTGAACAGGAGAAAAATATTTACACATCATATATTTGATAAGAGGCTAATACCCAAGATATACAAAGAATTCATACAAATGAACAAAAAGAAAACAAAGAAACCCAGTCAAAAATGGTCAGAAGGGCTAAACAGACAATTCTCCAAAGAAGACATACAGATGGCCAACAGACACATGAAAAAAATCCTCATTACTGCTTATCATCAGGCAAATGCCCATCAAAACAACAATGAGATCACATACCTGTGAGAATGGCCCACATCAAAAAGACCAGAAACAACAGGTGTTAGGGAGGATGTTGAAAAAGATAAAAAAAAAAAACAAAAAAAAAACCTTTATATACTGTTGGAAATGACTAGTCCAGATCCTATGGAAAACAGTGTGGCAGTTTCTCAAAATATTAAAAATAGATCTACCGTAAGATCCATCAATTCTACTCCTAAGTATTTACTGAAGAATGCAAAAATAATAATTTGAAGGGATGTGTATACACTTTGTTCATTGCAGCACTATTTACAATAGCCAAGTTATGGAAACAACCTAGTGCCTAGAAACAGATAAGTGGATTAAAAAAATGGAATACTACTCAGTTATTAAAAAAAATTAACTCTTGCCATTTGCAACAACATGAATGGAACTAGAGGTGATTACGCTAAGTGAAATAAATCAGAGAAGATGAATCCCTTATGAGATGGTTTCACTCATATGCAAAATATAGAGAAATAAAATAAAGGATCAGACAAAATCAAACCAAAAACAAACCCTAAAAATCTTGACTATAATATTGAGGCAGAAGGTGGAGATCGAAGTGGGGAAGAAGCCAAAAAGACTGTGGTGGAGAACTATGGGTTCCTTGGTGGTGGATGTGGTCTGGTAACATACATCTGAAGAAGTATGATCCTGCACCTTTGAATCATATGCAATTGGTAAACCAATGCTACCTCAATAAAAATTTAATTAAAAATAATATTTGATAGGGGTTTTCATTGTACAGTGATCATAGTCACTATACCTGTATGGCTATCTTTGGAATGGTTTCCATACATGCATCCTTTCATTGTGACATGGAATAGATTTGGTCAGAATTTACTTGATAGGGTATGTGGGATTTATTGCCTACTTTTATGGACTAATGTGATGACAGATGTTGACAAAATTAACACTGCTTATTATTTGCTTGATAGACTGACTCCTCCATATTGTCAAGGCTGCATTTAGAGTGAAATTGCAAAGAAAATCTATGAAAAGATACTAACACTGATAAGGCATTATTGAAAGTATCAGAGAAGTAAAAAATGATCTTGCTGACTTCACATTCAAAAAATGTTGCACTTGCATTTGTGCAACTTTTCATATGGTTGAAGAGGTTGGTGATGTGTACCAGACATACAAGCACTTTGCTTCTTGGTGATAATTTGGTTAAATGATTGAGCTCTGCTTTGTTCAAGGAAGATCACAATTTTCACATTTCATGGCATGTAAGTGAAGGTCACAGGTTAGAACATTGGCAAAGGATCATCTAAGAATCTTCTTTTGGGGAAACCTTTCATATATTGTGCTGCTGCTTCTCAAGTAATAAACTGCTTCTCTCTGTGTTCCTCATGTTATTTAGTATTTCCACTTTTCTTACTAGATAGACTTAAAAAAGTAAAAATAAATATTTCTGGTGGTGACTAAAAAAATAAAAACAATAAAAGAAAGATATCATACAAGGTATGCTTTCTAATCATACAAAATCAAAGTAGAAATTAGTAACTGAAAGGTTTCTGGAAAATATTAAGGCATTTGAAAATTGAATAACCAACACCTTAATAGGTCAAAAAGAAACTGTCAAAGAAAATTAGAAACATTTTTATGTGAATGACAATGAAAGAACAGCATTATCAAAATTTGCAGATTACTGCTGAGTGCTTAAAGATAGCAGTATGCTTATATTAAAAAAGGAAAAGGATCTCAAAAGAATTAAAGAACAATAGTCAATAAATCTGACAACAGAAAAATAATGTAGGAAATCAGTGAAACCAAAAGTTGGTTATTTGAAACCATCAATACAACTAATAAAACTATCTAGTTAGACTGACTAAGCCAATAATGCATGAATTCCCATATCAGGAAAGAAGTAAGGTATATTTCTAGAGACTCTAGAGATACTAAAGGACAACCACAGGCTCATACATTTGATTTATAATATGTTGATTTATAATATATTATAAAATTTGATTTATAATATAATATAATTCAACAACCACCACAGGCTCATAAATTTGAAAGCTTAGACAAAATGGAATTCAGTCGACCATACTTGGTAAATTATGCTAATTATGTCTTTAGTGATGCACTAATTGCTAGAATATGTAAATTCTGTCTTTTATTCTGTCACTCTTCAGGTATTGCTTAACTCTATAAGGATGTGAGAAAAAATCGAGTACTTGTCATATAGCACCAAAAAAGATACAGTGTTTAAAAAAAATGAATGTTATAGGTTAATCTTGATTCTGTATTCTAGAAGTAAGTATTCCATTGAGATGAGTGATTGATTATATTTTTTCCCCACACTCCCAGTCCTGGGGGTAGGGGTGGGAGGAGCAGGGCTGCAGAGTGTAAATTTATGACATAGTCTGGGTGTTATCAGTAAGGTCTTTAACTCCTGCTACTCTAACAACTATCCTTGCAGTCCCAACACTATGCTATCACCTTAGAAGGCTGACTTAGTAAATGGTAAGTTCCCCACTTAGCCTGTATTCCCAAAGTATACCCAATATTGAAATCTGAACAGCATTTGGCTCTAACTTGCCTTCTCATTTTTCAGACAGAATTCATTTAGTCCCTGCCTTCTCTGCAATACCTGACATGCTACAAAGAGAAAACAAAAAAGAAGAGTGACATTTCAAGAAAGATGTATAGCAAGGAAAATGATTAAGGTCGTTGTGCATAATAATTTGTCTGTTTCTCTAAATTAGACTTTCTTTGATTTGGCCAGAAAGCGTAGTTTAGAAATTAAGTAGTGATTTAATCAGTTCTCCTGAGAGTTAAGAGAGCATTATTTATTTTGAGTTACAAATGGAGAAACTGAGGTGCAGTCTGCATGCTAAGGGCATTTTGGCAATCCAGTCATTATCTATGTACAGTCACAATACATTATTAGAGGATCAATGGATCATGTACCCTGATTAATAATACTAGTGACACTCACTCTGAAGAAAAATACAACTCAAAACAAGCAGCACAAAATTAGAGCATAGATGTTTTTAAAATGATGTCCAAATGTACGTTATAAAAATCATTACTGGAAAACACTAAGTTCCGGTGTTTGAATTTTTGAATGCTAGGACTACATCTGATTACAACTGTTATGTAGTTCCTGTCAGAAATTTTGCATAATTTCTCTTAATTTCCACTAATGAAATATCAGGAAAAAGAGAAGATGTTTGCTCCTACTTCTATTCATTATTGTACAGAGGTTCTAATTAGACAAATTATGTGTGAAAAATAAAGAGGCATTACATTGGAAAAAAAGACTCAACACTTTCTCTAATTTGTAACTATCTCTAATTTGTGACACACAACATGATCTTGTCCATAGAAAATTCTAAGTGATCTCCTAAAAATCTATTAGTACAGAATGGTGACAGGAAACAAAATGAACATATAAAATAAAAAAATAAATAAAATTATAATACTAACCAAAAAAGTTGCATTTCTATACAGAGCAGTTAACAATCTGAAATGAAATTAAAATGACAGTTGCATTTACAATCACACAAAAGAATAAAATATGTAAGAATATTTAATAAATAAAAATCTTGCACATTGAAAATGATAGTGTTCAATGAAATTGAAGAAGGTCTAAATAAATGGAAAGATGCCCATGCACATTAATCAAAAGACTTAATATTGTTAAGATGGCAGCAGTCCCCAAAGTATCCACAGAGTTAATGCTATTATCAAAAATTTAGCTTGACCTCTTTGAAGAAATCAACAAACTGATCTTAAAATTAATACCAAAATTCAAGGGACCCAGAAAAACCAAGTTTGTAACAAGAAAGACAAAGTTGTAGGGCTCACAGGTCTTCTACAGTTACTGCAAAGTTACAATTATCAAGACAACAGGTTGTGGTTCAAAGATAAACATACAGACCAATGTAATAGGATTGACACTCCAGAAACAAACCCTTACTTTTATGATCAGCTGATTTTCAACAAGAATGCTGAGAAAATTCAACAGGGGAATGAACAATCTTATAAACAAATGGTGCAGGAATAAATAAATATCTATATACAAAAGAATGAAGCTGGGCCTCCTATACTCAAAAGATAGCTCAAAATGGATCACAGGCATCAATGTTTAAGAATTAAAGCTACAAAACTCTTACAAGAAATGTAATGAAGTTGGGTTAGGCCAAATCACAAATAACCAAAAGCAGAAGTAACAAAAACACCAATTAGACTTTACAAATATTTAAAACTTTTGTTTGCACATGATATCAGAAAGTAAAAGTGCAACTCATGTAATGATGGAAAATATTTGTAAACTATATATTTGCTAATAGGTCTGTAGCCAGAGTATGTAATAAAAAGAAACAAAACTTATAAACTCAATTGAAAAAATACCCAACTAAAATGGGTAAAGGATCCCAAGAGACATTTCTCCAAAGAATATATACTAATGGTTAATAGGCACATGAAAAAATGCTCAATATCACTAATAATTAGGGGGCTAAACATCTAAAGCACTGGTATATATCTTTTTGCTCCCATTAAGATGGTTATAATAAAAAAAAATACAGTACTGTTTGCAAGGATGTGGAGAAATCAGAACCCTGATACACTGGTATGGAAATATAAAATGGGGCAGCTGTCCTGAAAAATAGTTTGGTAGCTTCTCAAATGTGAAACATAGAGGAACCACGTGACCCAGAATTCCAAAGAACTGAAAACATGTTCAAGCAAAATCTTTTATATAAATATCCAGAGCAGGATTTATTCATAGTAGCCCTGAAATGGGCACAGCACAAATGTCTATCTGCTGATGAAAGGACAGTAAAATATGGACTATCCATACAATGAAAGATTACTGAGTCAGTAAGTGAAATAAAGTATGGAATTTATGCTTTAACATGGATAAGCGTTTATTAAATTATGCTAAGTAAAAGAAGTTTGTGAGAAAAGATCACATTATATGATTCCATTTATATAAAATATCCAGAGAAGGCAAATTTTGGAGACATAGAGCAGATTATTGACTGTCTTTAACTGGAAGTGGGAAGGGGCCTGTGGAGTGACTGCTAGTAGGTATGGATTTTCTGGCTGACGAAACTGTTCTAACATTAGAATATATTGATAGTTATGGTTGCAGAACTAAAAATCATTGAATGGTGGGTGTACTTTAGATGGGCAAATTGTATGATACGTGAATTATATTTTAAGCAAGCTGTCAAATATTAAATTAGTGTTGTCTGGGACCATTAAAATGATATATTTAATTTGTATTTATTTCTGTTATTAGGAGCAAATTATTAGGGGCAAATCTGCATCAGACATTTTTCATGTTTCAACAACTTAAGAAATCAGACATTATTAGAATGCAAGTAGATTTGCAAACACAAGTGTAATCTACACATTTAAATTTTGATTTGATCAACATTTGTCAAAAGAAGTATACTCAACACAGAACTACTTTTTTTCCACATAGCTTTTTTATGATTTTAAATCAATTTTCAGAGTTTTTACTCTGAAACACTGATGGTCCATTAAGTATAGAAGTAGTCGAGCTTCACTCTTCAGTTTTTCTCTAGGCTATTATTTATTATTTTACAGAATCAGAGTCATCACAATGTCTCTGTTTCTACAGACAGAGTCATAATCGGATGCTTGCTGTTCTTTCTTCTGATTTCTAAAACTAGTATAGTGTGATTTATATTTTATTTTCATCTTCTCTTCACTTGGACTAGCCGCAAAATGGAAGTAACTGAAATCACAGCCAATGAAAAACAGACCAGCAGGGAGCCTCAATCTGCTGAGCCATGCCTGGTCCACTGCTGCCTATTTATTCTCAAAGCCCTCAACCAGCTTGGGGCTTAACTCTCCCTTGTAAATGGTCTATTTCATTTGGATAAATAAACGAAGTGAGGTCATAACAGCGATTACTGCAAAACCATGCCCGGAGGCCAAATTCATGAAGCATCTGATTGGAAGCTGACATTTTTGTCCTTAGCTGATGCATTTTCAATGAACGGTCTTAGTTTGTTTCCAATCTTGAAGGACTTTGGTTCACATGGACATGACACACTGCCATTCAGGACTCTACCTCTATGATTGTTTTTGGGTCTCTCACAGGGGTAGATTCCACTGATGCCCAGTTTTGGTCACATTTTAAAAAGTCGTTGAGTCATATGCCTTGTTTATTTATTTATTATTGATTTGTATTGGTTTATATTGTTATTTATGTTTCAGAGGTATAGGGTCTTCTCTTTCAGATGCTGGCACTACACTACAACCACCACAAAGTGCCCACAGTCGATCCCCACAGTCCCAACCCCAATTTGTTCTTGCCCCTCCCCCTCAAGGCCCTACCCCACCTCTGATAGCCTCAGTTCTATAATTGGCTTTGTAGGGTTTGTTGTTAGATTGGCTTTATTGGATCCTTGGTTGGTATCTCTATATTCCACATATAAATGACACCATCTATTCTTTCTCCTCCTGACTAACAAACACACCTATGTTCACTGCAGCATAATTTACAATAGCCAAAAGATGAAAAAAATCCAAGTGCCCAAATGCAGAGAAGTGGATCAGAAAGATGTGGTGCTTGTGCAAACATGGTGGAATACCACTCAGAAATCAAAAAAAGATAAACACTTGCCATTTGTGGCAAATTGGATGGAACTGGAGGCGATTGTTCTAAGTGAAATGAATCATGTCTTTCTAGATTGCCAAGATGAATCTAACTTTTTCTATGAAAACTTCAAGGAAGTGAGAATAAGGAACTTACATAGTGACTCCCATGATTTCAGTTTTAGAAGAGGCAGACAGTCCTGCTATTAGAAAAAATGAATTTCTGGTGACATCATCTTAAAGCAAACCCTGCAAGCACAGGTTCTGGTGACCTATGTAAGTGCAGAGCTGCACAGACACTGCCTGACTGCTAGCTTCTGTCTGTCTCCAGGCTGGTTCCATTTAAGAGGCATCACACAGCCAGCTCTTCAATGATGGCCCATTTCTCCCTGTATGTACCCCTCACCTCTCCAGACAGAGTAAGCTGGGATAGATAGGACAGAGAGAGCGCGCGGGATTGAAAAAGTGCCTGAGCATGTGCCTTGTCCCTCCTAGTGTGTGTGTGTGTGTGTGTGCACGCTCGCCCGTGCACACACATGTTCCTGCTCCATTCTGTTTATCATTTTTGGTGACTTGATCATCTCCTCTTTCATGTCAGTGCAGTAGTGCTGCTCTCTTCTTTCATTACAGCCTTCCATGGGGCTTGACCAAGCTACACACTGTCCTTTATATTACATGTTAGGAAAACAATCCAATTAAACCCCATTGTTACACTCTCCTGAAAAGGTAATTGTTTTTAAACTTTGTAACTCCACAGGTCTTTGCTTTCATCCTTCCAACTGCAGATATCTTTGAAGTATGGGTTAGCTGTAATCATATACTTCAGAAGATTCTGTTCAGAGGATAAGGATGGAGAGGCAGCTACTTGCATCCTCAATTTCCTGGGCCTGGTTTATTTTATTTTCAAGTACTGAGAATTACAATAAGATAATCACTGGTCTATTGGTTTCCAAACCAATGCTTCATATTTTAGAATGCTCCCTGGCAGCATCTTAATTTTAGGTGCCAATTTTTGTATCAGCTAGTTATTTCTACGTTATAAACCACCACTAAAATTAGTGGAGTGAAAGAATAATCCTTTAT